TCCCTTCTCCTCCATTTTCCTCTCGGGATTCTGGGCATGAACATACATGCACCTGGTATGAGTTTTAAGCTGCCAGGTCTGGGACTGGAACTACGGTCAACTATATGGGAGTCCAGTGACACATAACCATTATGCCATCTGCTGGTCCCCACCATACCTTTCTTCTTAATGTAGTGCTCACAAACTATATTCATGAAAAGGAAAGTTTGGCTTATGTATTTCTTGGATCACAGGCACAGGTGGTGATGGTAGACCCAGTGCCCGATCACCCTAACTTGTTGTTTCACATGTAGTTGCCTAGTAAACGTAGACAATTTTTATTAACAATGAACATTCATTTTACTTTATTTCTTTTACAACAGTAGCTAAGTGATAATATTGTAAAGCCATGTGTTGGAGAAAAGATATTACCAAGAGACTCACCATTAACTGGCCTCATCCAAGAATGGAAAAAAAAAATTGTCATGGCTTACACTCTCAATTTCACAAACTGAAATAAATCCTATGACTGAAAGTACACTAACTTGTGTCTATGGATTCTTCTTCTGACGGTGGTTCTTTAGTAGCAAGTAAGCAATGTTGCCTCTTTTATTATTCCTTTTAACCTCCCTTCCTTCCTTGGAGAGAGGTACCCTTGAGAGTGTCTCACCACGCTATGATCCCCTGCAGCTTTCTGACCAGTCAGGGCCACATGTGCACGTGGGCATACGCAGTGTGTCCATGTGGACCCTGGATATAGACTGGGATCCTGCTGCCTGTGCCGCTGCAGCTGGTCCTTTGTCTCTCTTTAGCCTGGGGAGGCTATTACATTTGAAGCTGAAAACATTCCACAGTTCACTGCTGCCTGTCCTCAGATGCCCGTGACCGTGCTAACTGCTCCCACCTACAGCTGTACCTCTCCCATACCCATGGTTCCTCTCCCTCCAGCCCTGGCTTTGACACAGAGAAAGGAAAAGCAGCCTAGACTGTTGGTAGCATTACTTTTTTCTTTCTTTTCTTTTTAAAAAATAATTATTGATTTAATTTTATTTATCATAATTATTATTTTTTAATTTGCTACAGGGTGATGCACATTCACCAGAGAAAGAGAGAGAGAAAGTGAAAGAACAAGCCACCAGGTCTGGGATTCAAACTGCAGTCAGCCACATGGGAGTGCAGCACCTTCACCACCACACCACCTACTGTCCTGCATCACTTCTTCCTTAAAAGAATAGATAGAACTGTGGTTCTGGTCTTAGAGACCTGGGGCAGAACTTGAAGCCTTCTCATGTGACTAAGTACCTGCACTACCATGGTGCCTTCTCCACGTACTCTACTCAACATCCACTGTGTGGTCACATCTTGTTTATAAACACTCTAATACAAAAGCCAGGAAGTGAACATTGATGCAACCCGCGAGTGAGTTCAGACTTCGTCAGTTATACATTGTAGGGATGAGGGTGTGTGGGTGCAATGCTGTATTATTATTTTTTTTTGAGAGGTTTTTGTTTTAGGGCACATGCACTCGCCAGAGAGACAGAGACAGAGAGAAAGAAAGCGAGAATCACCCCGGGAGTGGGGGGAGAATGGCCACACCACAATTCCTTCTCCTCCATTCTCTCAGGATCTTGGGCACGCACACACATGCACTCAGCATGAGTTTAAGCTACCGGGTCCGAGACTCAAACTGCATTCGACTACATGGGAGTCCAGTGACAGAGCCATTACACCAACTGCTGGTCCCAGCAGTTCTGTGTCTTGATCACATGTGTAGACTCATATAACTGTAGTCACCTCGAGGTAGACACTGTACCACAGTGTACGGAGAGTGGGCTGTGCCAGTGTGCCTGCTATCTTGGCTGGCTGCAGGGCTGATGGGATGTCACGGCGTGAAGACACTGTTGGAGGTGCCGTTTCTCTCTCTCTTTTCTCTCTCTAAAAATGAACATGCTTAAAAAAGTACACGAGGGAACCAGCAGTTAGCGTAGTGGCTATGTCGCTGGACTCCCACGTAGTCGACCGCGGTTCGCGTCCCGGACCCGGTGGCTTAAAACTCACGCCGGGTGCGTGTGCGTGCATGCCCAAGATCCAGAGAGGAGAATGGAGGAGAAGGGATTGCGGCGTGACCATCCCCCCCGGGGGTGATTTCTCGCTTTCTGTCTCTCTGTCTCTCTCTGACTGTCTGGCGAGCGCATGCGCCCTATAGTGAAAACCTCTCAAAAAAAAAAAAAAAAAAAAGTACATGCGATCTCTCTATAAATTCATTTGAAGAAAATATCAACCAAATTTTAGCAAACTGAACTCAACATTGCATAAAAAGATTAAGGTAGCATGACCCAATGTGCTTTATCCAAGAAATATAAGGTTAGCCCACCTTAAAAATCATATGTTACTATGTTAGACTGGGAAAGGAATATGATTAACTCGGTAGATGTAAAAATAAGGCATTTGAAAAAAATAATCACTATATGGGACCAGCACTTAGCGTAATGGCTATGTCGCTGGACTCCCATGTAGTCAACCGCAGTTCGAGTCCTGGACCCGGTGGCTTAAAACTCACGCCGGGTGCGTGTGCGTGCATGCCCAAGATCCAGAGAGGAGAATGGAGGAGAAGGGATTGCGGCGTGACCATCCCCCCCGGGGGTGATTTCTCGCTTTCTGTTTCTCTGTCTCTCTGGTGAGCACATGTGCCTTATAGCAAAAACCTATCAAAAAATAATAATCACTGTAAAATCTGTCATAATTATTCATCTTTGTCAGTTTCCTTTTGTCCTTGACTCCTTTTTTCTTAATCTCAAGTTATCTGTAGCCTCTGCAAGTCCATTAGGCATTTGGAGCATTCTCTTTTGCTTCCATGTATTTCCCTTATATGATTTTATATGATCATTTTCCAGACAAAAATAAATCCTGTGACTGAAAGTCTGCAAGCTCGTGTCTGTGGATTCTTCTACCACCATCAGCTTCTAGTAAAAGAGCAGCCCTGCAGGCTGTTACATCCCAAGCTAGAAATACTCCTACCTGCTGCTCCCCAGGTGCTTGAGGCTGTGCTGACCACCTCTGTGTAAAGACGGAGCACCATGGCCTGCATTTGTCATGATTCCCCTGCCCTGCTGACCCCAGGCTTTGGGATTTTCAATGAAAAAAGATTGCTGGATAAGGCCAACCCCAGAACCCCCAGATAGTCACTAGCATCTGTTCTACCTTGAAGGAATTGCTCAAGTTGATTTCTTGGTCATAGGCACATTCTCCACTATCTGGTGATGCGTCCTTGGCCTCCTGTATATAGAGATGTAGAATACTTTTTTGTTTGTGCTTTGGAGAAACTCAGACTTGCTCTGTCTTTCCTGAAGGTGTGCTTTTCTGGTAAGAGTTTTTTATTCTTGAACTCTATATTCCAATACCCTTGCTGGTCTGGGAGCACTTCTGCAAACCTCATGGCATGACGCAGTGGGTCCTGGAAGCCAGAAGCCCATGTGTTGTTTGCCCAGGACCTACAGCGTCTCCATCAAAAAACAACGCTGCTGGGGGCCAGCCTGGTAGTGCAGAGGGCAAACCCTGTGTACTGGGAGCCAGATCCCACATGGCCAAGCACGGTTCAGTTCCCTGCCCTGAAGGCTCGAGAGCGTGCTAGGCACGTGTGTGCATGCCCGGAATCATGATGGGAGGAGAAAATTGTGTCAGGGCAACCTGCTGTCGGGGGTGCTTTCTCTCTCTCTCTGTTTCTCTCATTGTTGAGCACTTGTGCCCTCTGGGAATAAACGCAAAACAACGAAAAGATGCTCCTGGTCACGGTGGAAGATTTTTATCACAGAGTCAGGAGTTGCCTTTTGCAAATGTCCATGAGTCGTGAATGGGCAAATGAGATGCGGCATACCCACACACAGGCATGTAACAGCCACAGGAAGGAGTGACGCACTGGTATTGCTGCAACGGGGACGACCCCTTGAAACCCTTGTGCTAAATGTACACAGTCACAGACACACACTTTATTATTAATTCGTACGAAGTGTCCAGAACAGGGGCAGCTCTGAAGACAAAACGAATTTATCGGTGTTTCCAGAGTGGAGATGAGAAATGACAAGCTGGTGGGGTGAGGTGATGGCCGAAGTGCACAGGCCTTCTTCGTGTGGTAATGACACTAAAAGTGACTGTCAGTCCACTAGAATTCAATCGCACCCCTAAAACGGGTGAAATGAATGGTGTGGCATGTGAATTCTATTTCAGTAAATCTTTACAGAATACCTGATACTTCCTCATCTGCACTGCCACTAACTTAGTTTGGCCCGTTATGATCACCGGCCTCCCTTATTTTAATAACACTTTCATTTCTGAGCGGTCAGTTCCCCAGGTGTGAAGGACCCAGCAGATCCAAGTTGTAGATCTTTGGCAGTTGTTGGTCCCTGCGATAGGGTCTGCTGGGGCAGGAGAAGGCGTGGCTGAGGTGGGCTGGAACATGCATGGGATTTTGGACATGTGCAGTTGAAGTTGAAGACATTTGCAAACCCTGATCTTCCACAGTGGAGTGGCTTTTCCGTTCTCTCTCTCGCTGTCCTTCAACCTCTCTATCATCTTATCCGGAGCTAAGAAGAACCCTCTGGGCAACAGTTGGGCTGCCTTTTAAAGCTCTTCCCTCCCTTACATCAGATTAGGGGCTAGTACTGTGAGAAAGGAACACGGCTGGGGAACAGGACCGAGTTTCATCTTCTTGACTTCTTAGTTCTGAGACAAGAAATGGTCAAGGTGGCAGCAGCAGGTAGAAATCGCGGGCGATGACAGCCTGTGATCACAGCTAGCGTTTCTGTTTTCCTCTTTCTGCTCCAACACGGTGAAGAAAGTGCCAGAAAACTGTCTTGCCCCAAACGAAATGACCAAGAACTTTGCTAGAAAGGCAGATGGTGCTGCTTTGCTGTCGCGTCACTGCCGAGGGGTTTAAACAATTCAGTCCTCGCCCCAACAGAGCCCTGCGCGCACACGTGAGTGTGGTCCCCACACTTGTACCACGCTGTCGTCCCGCGAGGTGCAGGCCACCCCGCGAGCCCTGGGACTGCCCAACGGCTGGGTCCCCGGCGGTGCTCCCCGTCCCGGCGCTCAGCAGAACCATGTTCCTTCTCCTCGCCCTCCTCGCTGGGCTCGGGAGCGTGCAAGTCCGCCTGGGTGAGTCCACAGGGCTGGGATTCCTCCCCCGTTTGCTCAGAGCATATTCTGTAGTTAGGTGTCCCCGCTGCGCCCTTCCTGGATCTCCCAAGCCAGGCTGCGTGACTCCAGGACCTTAGCAGAGGGCCCAGTCTTCTCTAGGGGAGCTTGTGGGTGGCAGTGGACTTGCCTGCACCTCACAGCTCAGAGTTCCGAGGGAACCGGGCCCCCGGTGGTTCTGCAAGGGAACAAGCCAATGCTCCAGAACTGCGACATCCGAAGCTGTTTGTTTCTTTATTTGTATCTCAGCCACTTTCAAAGTGACACTGAAAATCTAGTGACAGCTGTTAACCAAATTGGGTGGGCATAGACAGATAAGCTTACTTACAGCTTTAGAGCCCACCATGGACTCCGGGTTTAGAACCCATGCTTCACTGAGATGATTATTGATACCACAACAAAAACCAGAACCCTGAAATTGTTTTCTTCCTGCAGAGTCTGAAGGACTATTTCTGCATGTCACAGTTCCACGGAAGATACAGTCAAATGAGAGTGAAGTTTCAGGAAACAAGGTAAATGCTCAAGGATATTTGTTTTCTATTGAAGTCTTTAAGGCTGTTTTTAGATACCCCCGTGTCATGTCAAATCACACTAATTTGTATTTACTTGGAAAGCAAAATATAAAATATTTTATATTTTAGTAATTTTTTTTAATTGCCAGAGTGTACAAGTGCTCCCCAGAGAGACTTCCAGGGAAATGGAAAGAGAGGGAGTAAGAGAAAGCATCCCTAGTGGGACCTGGTCACGTCAAATCTCTTCCCCTGCCTTTCTCTATCCTGCTGGGATTCTCCACACATGCACATATAAGCCCAGGGTGTTTTTCGAGTCCTAGGGCAGAAGTCTAACCAAATAACCAGACATGACTTCCATAACCACTAGGCCACTGGCCAGTGTCTTCTAGTAAATTTTGATCCTCTGCTTCCCACATCTGTGATGGAAAGAATCTTGCCCCTTCCCTTCACCTCTCTTCTCTTCTTACAAACTTGTTCAAAAATTTCCTGATGACAAATCTGCTGATAATCCATATGGAGATCTCATTATATGTGACATGATGCTTTTCTACTGCCACTTGGAAGATTTTTTTCTTTGACTTTCAACAGTTTAATTTTGATGCACATTGGCAAAGACCTCTTTGAGATGAGCTTGTTTTGGAGATTTCTGATAGGGGTTTGGATGTCAACCTCTTTTCTGAGACTTATGAAGTTTCCAGCAATTATTTTTTAAAATAAGTTTTCTGCACCCTTTTTCATAGCTGCTGCTTCTGGAACTCCCATAAGGTAAACATTTGCTTGCATAGTGGTCTAGAAGTTCCACAGGCTTTTTTCACCTTTTCTTAAATTTTTTTCCACTCTGACCAGGATCTCTCTTCAAGTTTGCAGACATTTTTCTTCTACTTGATCTTGTCTGCTGTTGAAACTCTTAACTGTAGATTTTTACTATATTCATTGAATTATTGAGAGCCAGGAGTTCTGCTTGGTTTATTATCTATTGATGATGACATGTATAGTATTCTCAACTAGACTGGCCTGACATCTATTTCATGCTGGGTAAATTCCCTTTGCACACTAAATGATGTATAGCAATTGAATTTATAAGTAGTAATAATGATAATAATTAATAATAATATAATAAAAGGAGTTCTGCTTGATTCTTATTTATGGTATCTATCATTTTATTGAATTTATCACTTAGGTCACGAATGCTTTTCCTGAGTTCATTGAATCATGTATCTGTTTTTTCTTTTATTTTGAAAGGTTTCTTCAAGAGTGTTATTTTGAGTTCCTTTTCAGGCACTTTATAAATTTCTATTTCTTTGAGGTTAGTTGGTAGAGAATTATTGCATCTTTTTGAGGGTGTCGTGTTCATGCTTATTTCATGCTTCTTATGTCACTGTGGATGTTTTTATGTTTGGTGGAACATTTGCCTTGTCCTAATTTATAGAGTGTCTTTCTTAGAAAACACAGGTAGATAGGCCAAATGCAGTGACGGCAAGGACCCAGGAATGGCATTTCACAGCTGCAACTTAGTCTCTAGAGGGCAAGAAGTACAATAATTGCTTTACTCCTCAGGAAGTCAGAGTGCCTCAGCCGTTCAGAGTCTGGAGTAGCAGTTTAGAGTCTGGAGTAGTAGTTCAGATCCAGGAAGGTGAGACACTGCAGTGTTTGGTACAGAGGTGGGGTGACACAACTATCCATGGTTCTAGGACAGGACATACCATCAACTTAGCCACCTCGAGCATAGCTGCTTTGCAGGGCCAGCCTCTGGTTCCCTGGTTCCCCGGAGGTAAGTTGTCATATCAGCTAGGGTGCTGGGCAGGCATGGGTCCTTCACTGAGCTGGGGCTCTGAGTTCCTAAGGGGAGAGGTGCTGGGGAATGGTGTGCTCCTCTGGGCCTCGGGCAGTTCTTCTCTAGAGTAGTGCCTCTGTGTGAACTCTAGGCAACTCCTTAAGCTGAGTTTAGGGCCTGCGATGACTGCAGGATTGGAAATAAAATGACACACGCTATCTATCTATCTATCTAGATGAGATAGATGATAGATAGATCTTGATTTACTGATGAGCACTGATGGGCACCCCAGACTAGGATGAGCACTGGTATAATGATGATTCTTGAATTCTTGCATCATTTCCAATCTTTTGAGGAAAGTACTCAGTCTTTAACTATTGAGTGTAAGTTCAGCTGTAATTTTTTAAATATATTTTTTAAGTTGAAGGAGGTGTTTCTCTATTCCTATTTTTCTGTTATAATGAATGGTGTTGAATTTTATTCCAAGTT